TTCATTCAGGTGTTTAAAGAAAACAAAAAGATGAAGAAGATATAGACGATTGCTCAAATAAAAAAAGAAAAAAACATTTAGAATATATTGTTCATCTTATACAGGAACGTACGATGTTTTGGTTATAAAACCGTTTTGGTAAAAATTGACAAGCATCTCCTATAGATTTACTATCATACTAGTGCTTGGTTGACCTTGACGTATGAAGGATTTGACAGTATATATTTCTTTGACTTATAATTCCGTTGATTCCGTATTTATTCAACGAGAGGTGTTTACATGTTGCTTAAATCTACATTTATTATTTATAGACAAAATAGTAAATGTATAATAATTTTCTAGTAAGTTCACAGCGGCGTTTACTACTAATAATGTATAATATGTACTTTTTATAGTTCATTAAGTGTTTGTAACGATATCAATTATGTCCATGGAAGAAAGAAATGTGAACGATACCATCATTAAAATGATAACGAACCTTAATCCCAAGATAAAAACTGAAGTTGGGGACTTTAATTATGATAATACCGCTATTTTAAAAAGACGTTTAAGTAATGTTAGTTCTGATGAGGATTCCCCTGTTAAAAAGCATAAGAAAATCCCAACATGTTCCAATAATAATTCTAATGCAAGTTATTTGGCATCTCCACGTGAAGCTAGAAGATTAAGAGCTGATTTAATTGAAGCGAGAAATACTGTTAAAGATCTTGAAAACAGAATTCAACATATGCATAGTATTCGAAAAGAAATGCAAATTATGTTTGATAATGAAACCAAGAGTTTAAAACTCCAACATGAACATGATAAAAAAACAATAGAAGAATTGGAATCACAATTGCAAACTGTTAGAAAAAGAGAAGCATCTGCTAAAAATGAAATAAGTAATGTAAGTGTATACCTGCAGGTAATTGTATCATGTTAAATTTCCACAGAATAATTGTGCTTGTTACTATTTAGCTGAAAAAAAAGTATGAATTATTAAGGAATGAGTCAGAGTCGGCAATTATCAAATTGGAAAAAGAGTTAAATGATATCAAATTATCTAGTAAATATATGGAAGACGAGGAACAAGAAAAACTGATTAAGTTACAAACACAAAATGAAGAATTAGTTGTTATATTAGAAGCAGCACAACAAGATGCTGAGGCACATAAGAAACTCGTAACTGAATTAGGTATATTATGAGTAACATAAAGCATATAAATAAAAAAATTAAAATGTTCTTCAGAGAAACAGCTTCTGGCAAAAAATGAAATAGAAAGAGAACTTGAGAAGAAACAACAAGCTCTATTAAAAGTTACCTTGCAATTAAAAGATCTTGAATATGTTAAAGACAACTATGCAGAATATCAACAACTTACAAAGGTTTCTCCTTATTTATTGTAAAAGTGTATATGAATATATTACTTTATCTTTTTGTAGGCACAACTTTATAAGCTTAATGGTTACAGTGCCATGGAAAAAGAAAATCAGCAGCTAAAGGAAGAAAATAAGAGAATAAAAGATGATATCCGTAATAAACTTCTTTTGGAAGAAGAGGTTTATGATTTAAGAAATCGTTTAAATAAATATAAGGATCAAGAGCAAACATTAGCTTCCTTGCAGGTAAACTAAAGCATTGCATTCAGGTTTACATATGTGTGTGGTATAATATTATTATTGTTATTTGTTAATAAATTTTTAGGCTGCAATGGTTCAAAATGAAGTTTTTCTAAATGAATGGAAAACATTGGCCAGATCAATTTGTGAAAGTTCATGGCCTGATTCAGCACTTCCTAGTTTATTGCGTACAACTGTAGAAAAGTTACAACAGAAAGAAATCAATTTAACGACTGAAATTGTACAGTTACAATCTCAACTTAATGCTGCCATACATGTAATTATATATTAACTATTTTTTGTCAACAAGCACGGAAAAAAATAATTAGGACACGTCATAGGTAAGTACTTACTTATACTTAAGTTACTCAGTGCACTTTTTGAATTTTCGGCCGGGATATGAAATGCATTGTGTTTGTTAGCGACGAGAACAGGTATGTTTTAATTTACTGGTTTATGAGTATTATCCATACGATCATTACTTCTTTTAAAATATTTCTCATAAAATTATTCATTTTTAAGTATATGTAATTTATGCTAAGCTGGTTATGTTATAGTCAATAAGTCCGTCTTGTCCAAAAAAGCACTATACTCATCGATCGCTACGATCTAAATCTTTTTATGCTGAGTGACTGACTAAGTTTAGTAAGTACTTACATCAGCCAAAGACGCCCAAACTCAAAGAAACATATACTATGTAAAACATACTATAGAGAATTGTTTAATTAGAACAATTTGCCATAACGTTTTTCATTGTAGTATATGCTTCTTTGAGTTTGTATTCACAATAATTTATTTTTCAACAAAATGGTGACTCAGTTTGTGTGCCACCCAGCATATAATTTAATTGCAATAGTTCAATATATTATTAATTTTTTTTTTTAGGAAAAGGTTGTGGCTCAATCTGAACTTGAAAAAAATCAAAAACATCTTGCAGAAGTCGGAAAAAGTTTGCAACAGAGACAAAATCTTATACATCGCATGCAAAAGAAATTATTGCTCATAAGTAGAGAAAGAGACAGTTATCGATTACAATTAGACTCTTATGAGCGTGATCTAACTGTTTGCATGATTCAACCTAGCACTAGTAGTTGCTCTGCTACTTCCAATCCGCAACAAACACAAAAGAATCGCATCGAAAGCTTGGAAAAAATCATCGAAGGTTATCGAGATATGGTAGCAAAACTTGAGAATGAATTGCAGACCATTGAGCACGATCCAACGTCTGGTTCGCTTTATTAAAGATTTGATTAATCGTTTAGTCATTTCACGTTTATGTTGTAGACGTTACTCCGGTTCGAATGGAGCAAATCGAACGTCTTTTAAAGGAAATAGATATTCTAAAAACAAATAATGCTCAATTAAGAGGCCGTTGCGATCAACTAGAAGTACAACTTGAGGAAATCTGCATAGGACAGGATAGTAACAAGGGTCGTATTATTCACCTTAAAAAGAATCCTCTTTCTGAATCTATTGAAGAAAAGGAGAAGACGATTGAAAGGCTTCAAGAAGAAGTTCGTATTTTTTTTGTGATATAGTTTATTATAAAATCTACCTAATTTATTTACTTAGATGTTAATTAATTTGTGTGCTCTTGAAAAATCGTGTTCCATTTTCTTTGGGGAAAATAATTCGAATTTAAAGCATACTGCATAATACATAGTCGTGGAGTATATTCTATGAAAATTGTTTCAAAACTATTTTAAATTTAATTAACTATGTTTTCCCATTTATAGTTTTAGGACGATTTACTCTATATCTAATTGTAATATACACATATTACATTTTTCTTGTTTTAAAGGCTTGGAACTTGTTAAATAAATAAAATTAAATTTACCCAGAAGTTGCAGGTAACAATTGTTTACCTTTTTTTAGAATGATAAATTAAAAAGAATGATACGAAAAATGGAAGAAGGTTTAGAAGCGACTAAATTGGCAGATACAACCTTGACTCCTCAAGAAGTAGAAGCAATGCGAGAAAAAGTTGTGGCTTCAGAAAATAAAATTCAACAGCTGAAGGATTTCTTTAAACAGTCGATGCAAGAATTTAGAAATGTTTTATATATGCTACTAGGTTATAAGATTGACAAACTTTCGAACGCCCAGTATAAATTGACGAGCATGTATGCAGAACGACCAGAAGATCAAATATGTTTCCAGTTAAATTCCGAAGGTAATTTAAATCTATTAGAAAATCATTTTAGCGCATCGCTTGAAGACATGATCGATTTGCATTTACGCCATCAAAAATCTATACCTGTATTTTTGAGTGCTCTAACAATAGATTTGTTTAATAACCGAACAACAACCACGGCTACCGTGGAAATAGATTGAAGAATACATAGTTGTAATTTTTCATTTTTAGTCATAAGCTATGTCTACATTTTCTTTTCAATAATGATCCTTTTAAATTAAAATATTATGAATCATTTACTTTATCTTACTTTTTTCCCTACCTTACCAAGTATCATTAAGCAATATCTAAATTATCTCATTATTTGTTATTGGTGCTAATGTTATAGTTTTTTACATAACAAAAGGAACAAATTTTAACAAATCCTTATCGTGTTTCTACCCATGACGATTATATGACCGTCATCTTGTAAATCTTTTAGGGCATCTTCAAATTGTTCACGGATTATATTCTAAAATAGTTGTCGATATTTAGTTGAGTAATATTTCAAAATAGATAATAAATTCATACCAAGGAAGAATTTTCTCTTAATTCTTGGTACAGTTTTTGAAACTGAAGCACTGGTACTTTGCCTTTATTAGAATCGATCAGTTTCTTAACAGCTTCTGCCAATTCAATTCTTCGTTTACGTGCTGCACTACTTAAGCCAGTAGTTAAAATTCCAACATCTATTTTACCAGAAAGAGGATCTGTAGCTGATTGCTTTAGGGCTTCCCGATGAAGTCTGTAATGTCAAAACAAAATGTGAATTTCGTTTAGGTACTTGTAAAATTTAAATATTAGTCTCCTACCTGTAAGCTTCGTCGACATCTTCTACTGTGACAATATTTGAAAAACGCACTTTAGCATGAGCTTCTGATAATCGTATGAGAGATTCCAGTTGCCTTGGATAAGCAGAGATTTGGCCCCGTCCAGATCCTATTTTTCTCATATCTACATAGGCCTGTATCAGTTTTTGTTGGGCCTCTTCGCTTAGTTTTGGGTGTATGTTTTCTTTGGTGTACGCTATGTAATCTCTTAATATTGACATATCCTGAATAAAAAAAAATACGTGTAATCATACAACACGCTACTGAAGTGAAACTTCTTCAAACACACAAACATATCGGGATAGGGGTTAAGGAATTGGTTTAATGGTATTATT